CCCTGTGACTGCCTCTCTCCTGCCTACGTGAGGCTGAGTCCTCCTCTGTGCTCAGCCCCTTTGGCCCACATGGCTGCAGCTTCTCTGTAACTTCCTCTCCCCTGCCCACTCAAGGCTGAGCCCTGCCCTCCTCAGTCCTCAGGCCCCGTAGCCAACAGGGCTCCAATTTCCCTGTGACTGCCTCTTTCCTACCCACTTGAGGCTGAGTCCTGCCCTCCTCCATTCTGAGCCCCTGTGGCCAACACAGCTCCAGCTTCCCTGTGACTGCCTCTCTCCTGCCCACTGGAGGCTGAGTCCTACCGTCCTCCATTCTCAGCCACAGTGGCCAGCATGGCTCTAGCTTTCCCATGACAGCTTCTCTCCTGCCAACATGAGGCTGAGTCCTGCCCCCTCTGTCCTCAGCCGCCGGGCCAGCAGGGCCTCAGCTTGCCTGTGACAGCCTCTCTCCAGCCCACTCAAGGCTGAGTCCTTCCCTCCTCCATCCTCACCCTCCATGAGCAGCGGGCCTCCAGCTTCCCCCTGACTGCCTCTCTCCTGTCCAGTCAAGACTGCTCTCCTCTTTTCTCAGGCCTTGTGGCCAACAGGCCTCCAGCTTCCTGTGACTGCCTCTGTCCTGCCCACTCAAAGCTGAGTCCAGCCCTCCACTGAGCTCAGCCCCTGTGGCCACATGGCTGCAGCTTCCCTGTGACTGCCTCTCTCCTGTCCACTTGATGCTGAGTCCTGCACTCCTCCATCCTCAACCCTGTGGCCAGCATGGCTCTAGATTCCCCATGACTGCCTCTCTCCAGTCCACTGGAGGCTGAGGCCTGCCCTCCTCCATTCTCAGCCCCTGTGGCCGGCACAGCTCTAGCTTCCCTGTGACTGTTTCTCTCCTGCCCAATCAAGGCTGAGTCCTGCCCTCCTCTGTCCTCAGGCCTCAAGGCCAGAAGGGCTCCAGCTTCCCTGTGACTGCCTCTGTGCTGCCCACTCAAGGCTGAGTCCTGCCCTCCTCCATCCTCAGCCCCTGTGGCCAACAGGGCTCCAGCTTCCCTGTGATTGCCTCACTCTTGTCCACTTGAGGCTGAGTCCTGCCCTCCTCTGTCCTCAGCCCCCATGGCCAGCAAAGCTCCAGCTTCCCTGTAACAACCTCTCTCCTGCCCACTCAAGGCTGAGTCCTGCCCTCTTCCGTCCTCAGCAACCATGGCTGGCATGGCACCAGTTTCCCTGCGACTGCCTCTCTCCAGCCCACTTGAGGATGAGTCCTGCCCTCCTCTGGCCTCAACCTCTGGCCGGCACAGGTCCAGCTTCCCTGTGACTGCCTCTCTCCTGCTCATTCAAGGCTGAGTCCTGCCCTCCTCTGTCCTCAGCCCCCCCTGGCCAGCAGGGCTCCAGCTTCCTTGTGATTGCCTCTCTCGTGCCCACTTGTGGCTGAGTCCTGCCTTCCATCTTCCTCAGGCCCCATGACCAGCAGGGCTCCAGCTTTCCTGTGACAGAGTCTCTCCTGCCCACTCAAGGCTGAGTCCTGGCGTCTTTCATCTTCACACCCCATGGCCGGCAGGCCTCCAGATTCCCCATGACTGCCTCTCTGCTGTTCACTCAAGGCTAAGTCCTGCCCTCATTTGTTCTCAGGCCCCGTGGCCAACAGGCCTCCAGCTTCCCTGTGACTGCCTCTCTCCTGTCCCTTCAAGGCTGAGTCCTGCCCTCCTCCATCCTCAGTCCCCCACGGCAGGCACAGATCCAGCTTCCCTGTGACTTCCTCTCTCCTGCCCACCCAAGGCTGAGTCCAGCCCTCCTCTGTGCTCAGCCCCTGTGGCCCGCACAGCTGCACCTTCCCTGTGACTGCCTCTCTCCTGTCCACTTAAGACTGAGTCCTGCCCTCTTCTGTTCTCAGGCCCCGTGGCCAACAGGCCTCCAGCTTTCCTGTGACTGCCTCTCTCCTGCCCACTCTAGGCTGAGTCCTGGCCTTTTCTGTTGTCAGCCCCCGTGGCAGTCACGGCTCCACCATCCCTGTGACTGCCTCTTTCCTTCCCACTTGAGGCTGAGTCCTGCCCTCCTCCGTTCTCAGCTCCAGTGGCCAGCAGAGCTCCAGCTTGCTATGACAGCCTCTTGCAAGCCCATTTAAGGCGGAGCCCTGCCCTCCTAGTCCTCAGGCCCAGTGGCCAGCAGGGCTCTAGCTTTTCTGTGACTGCCTTTTTCCTGCCCACTTGAGGCTAAGTCCTGCCCTCCTCCATTTCAGCCCCTGTGGCCGGCACAGCTCCAGCTTCCCTGTGACTGCCTCTCTCCTGCCCACATGAGGCTGAGTCCAGCCCTCCTCTGTGCTCAGCCCCTGTGGCCCGTGTGGCTGCAGCTTCCCTGTGACTACATCTCTCCTGCCCACTCAAGGCTGAGCCCTGCCCTCCTCAGTCCTCAGTCCCCAAGGCCAGCAGGTCTCCAGCTTCCATGTGACTGCCTCTCTCCTGCCCACTTGAGGCTGAGTCCTGCCCTCCTCCATTCTCATCCCCTGCGGCCGGCACAGCTCCAG